TGCAGCAGATATCGTTACTGTGTCACACTCAGCAAACATAATAGTGATTAAAAGAGAGTCGCATTTTTTTTAGCGCATACTGTGTATGACGAAAATATAAAATAAAATAAAAAATAATTATATAAAAATGTAAAAATAATAATAATAACATCTTATCACTCTAACGAAGCTGGAGATATAATTTTGCTTTACTTACGTCTTAAGAAACATCGTAGGTGGCGGCGATCGAGTTAATTATATAACAACGTAGAAGAAGATGTTGATCGTGACAACTTTTTGTAACAATCATATATGTAAAACGATGATTACACGATCATCTCCAAGTAGTTAATAAAATATCACGCAAATATTCAAGGATATCGGACGGCATATATTCACGCATAGCTTTACGTTGGACAGCACAAGCTTATTAGAATCTTCAAGCAGCGTGAAACTATGTGGAAGCTGATTATCGCGATAATGATATATTGAAGTTAAAAAGATTTTTTGGCAGACAAACCGTAAATTTAGTATTATTACGCTATCACTTACGTTCCGTTATTCATCGGGTGAAAATAATTTCGTCCCCGAGAGCATAATTTATCGGCCGGGAAATTATTTGTAAACGGATAATCGTGCATCTCTCTCAACCGGGCTATTCGTTTTCTATTTCACGATCTACGAGCCCAACCAGCTATGTCTGCGTATACATGGCGGGATTAGAGATCGGTGGGTGTGTTGCGCCGGTCAGATCGGGTGTGCGATCATGCGTTAAAATGAAAGGAGACGCGCGACGTGCCGAGATGAGAAATAAGAAAAACGAGCGTGCAAAACTCGATATAGCTGGTCGGTTGGTATCCTAAAAGGAGAGTCTGATATCCCAAGCAAGACGGGATTCGCGATCGGTGCGCTCGCGGATACTCATTTAATCCGCGAGCGCAATCAATGAGTACGCGTCTCGATTCTTGAAATTCATATACCGAAAATTAATCATTTGCCTGCCGCAAGTTATGTCGTCGTCTTTTCTTTTTGCTTTGCTGAGACATCACCGGCTGGAAAAATTTGCGATTCTAAAGACGCGGAGATACGCGTCTCGTGCAATTAATTAAAACCCAGCTTTGTCGCACACAATTAAAATTATCACGCACAATTTTAATTCTTACTTAATCTGTATCTAGTCGAGAATAAATCGCCCCTATTTGCGTAACTGAAATAAGAAATTTCGCGGTCACAGATTTAATTAAAGCTTCCATCAAAAATCATAGATAATAGATAGCGGAGCACTATTAGCGACGTGCTATCGATCTACCGCTAGTCGATCGATCGAGCCGGTACGATTTTTTCCACTTTCTAAACGCGCGGGTCCGCTCTGAGACCAGCAACCGCGTGGAATTTCGTGATTAGCTCGGCCGTTTTTGTCAACGTCACGTTGGCAATAATGTTCGTTGGCGCGTAGAATTATTGCCTCATCGATGCCGTTGTAGGCTCGCTCGCGCTTGTCTCGAGCCGCTCTTTTGTGACTCGGAATAATCGCCGATACTTCTATCTCCGTTCTTGAGCTACAAACGAGAACCGTCCGATTCCTTTTCGCAACAAAGAAATCCTCTCGTACCTTCCTATCCTTCCCGCAATTTTCTTTTTTCTATTCGTATTCTAGCTTTCATTTACGCGATTGTTGATCTTATCGATCGCTACCAGATTTTAGATCCCACTGATACCGCTGATACTTCCAATCGATTGGTGATTTTTTTATCCGTAAACGAGTGTTTTGCTTAACCAATCATTACCTTTTGTTGGCCATCTTACGACAGAAGAAAATAAGACCGTGATTGATCTATTATTTATACATATATTATTTCGCCACAAAATCAGATTAAACTACTAAATTTAATGTTTATTTATGGATTAAATTTGATATTGACTATGTTTATAGGTGAATTTTACATTCGTATTTTCTGGTAAAACAAAACTTGTATGTACTCTTCATTTTATTATAAAATAAATTAAATATTATTCTTTTTTATTTTTTGTAATTATATAATTATAATATATATAAATTATAATATATATAAATTTTATGTAAATATTATATTACAATATAAATTATAAATACATTATTGATATTTTCGTACCTTTCTGATACTAATTTTATCCAAATACATCAAATTCTTGTTTTGAATTTCTCTCTATAGTACTTTCTTTTCTCTACACCTCTTGATTACCTCGTCAGTGCCCTTTCATTAGCGCGGTGAAAAAAATCTTGACTTCACGTCGCTATGAGTTATATGGCATGGATATCAACTTTTTATAATTCTAATGAAGATGGTGCTCTTCTTGCAATCAAATCAAACTGCAAGGTTTACCGACACGTGAAGTGATGCGTTTTTTGCGCAAATTAATAGTAAGTAAAATGTTTTAAAAAATTGTAACGAATTACGGTAGAATTTTGTGAAATTGTTTGACAGGATCGGTTTGTTTCTGAAACTACGTTCACTTCTGCCTTACGATCAGAAACTTGTTTAAATTACCTAAATAATACTTACCTAAACGTTTTGCGATCAGAAACTTGTTTAGATTACTTAAATAATGCTTATCTAAACTCAACGCTCTGTAATTAACTTTAAAGAATCCAAATAGATTCGTAGCTCGAATAGTATTTAACTTTTTATTTTATCAAAGCGTGAACTAAAGAGCGTGTTATCCGCGTTTCTTCCGCGATATCATTACGTAACAATGTTATCACCTTGGCACTTACGTGCAACCAAGATCCGTGTGTGCAGCGCGAGGATGCAAAAAGATAATAATACTTAATTATATATTACTAATATAAAATATAACAAGTGATTAACGATTATATATTTTTTATAAATGAGGCTAAAGGTGCTAACTTTTTATATAAATATAAATAGGTAGAATGATTCTATATATCAAATTATTAATTTACAATATAATTGTAGAAAAATAAATCGTACCTTATATTTATAATACAATTCAACTAAATGATGTTATTATAGAGCGATAATTGTTATACATATACCATCAAATTACTCGCAGCGACATTTACTTGTTTTCTTGGGCGTTTCAGTGAAGAATTTATGTAGTGTATGTATGTGCGAACATTGTTGTTCAGTCAGACAGACTTGAATGAGATCGAATGGTGTACGATATTACGTCGGATCGAGTGGGCGTCAAAGATCGATTCAAACGATCGTATAGGCAAAGTTCAACCTTCATTAATTCAACGCCAGGTTATTCGTCAATTAACTTATCTAATCATCAAAGGATTGTCGAATTTTTCTCCACTTCATAACATGTGTTTTTTTATTTTTTAAGTTAAATATATGAAATTATATATATAATAAAAGTTATAATTGTTCTAACGTGTCACGGAGATCAATATTATCGAAAATTGTAAAAAAAAAGACGAACATAATTCATAATTTCTTGTACTCAATTTTTTTTAATTTAAAAGATATGCTTTCTTTTTATTTTATAAAAACAATCATTGCCAAACAATAGGAATTATGGGATAAAGCGTAATCTAGCGTTTCAAGGATGAATAGACATCAACTGCTGCAGCGTATTTTGCCTTTAGAGCAGATCTTATTTATCGTCGATAAAAGAGAAGTCTCTTAGCGCACTTTTTGCAAATTTTCAAACTGTTTTAATGGAAAACATAAGTCAGATGCATTTTATTGCACTTATCTTATATTTTTACAAAATTTGTAATTTATTTACAATCATTTAATAAATACCAAGTTCTTTATTTCGAAGTATGCAGTACCAGAGCGCAGCACAAGTCAATATAGAGCGAGCACTGAAGAAATACCATGTTGCATTTGACTCTTGTAAAAATTGAAGTACGCCATATTTTGAAAAGAGATGAATACATAAATAAATATTCGCTAATTTTAAAATTGTTTAATTAGTAAAAATGGAACGTATCTTACCTTTTGTTTTTATTTTTATGATTTTTATTTTGATCATAATTGTTTACCAATGGAATAAATAATGAAATTATATAATTTATGAAAACTAAATATGTGTTTAATACTTTTACTAATCATTAAAAAATAGCTTGTCTTACAAAAGTGTCCATATTTTCCCTAATAAGTAAACTTTCTAAATTCATTTTATTCCTTTTGCCTTTGCATTAATGGTTATTACACATACAATTATTCAAAAAAAGGTATAGTATTGTTTTTTCTAGTTTACATTTTATTTATGTTATCTTTATTTGTTAAAATCGCATAATATACCAAATTATAATTTATCAGATATTATTAAATTAAGATTTTATTAAAGGAATACAAGGCAAAGGAAAATCGATAGGTGACATTATCGCTTAGGTAATCAACTTGAAGTGTAATATTTTAATAGTAATCATAATGAAGTTACAGGATGCCTTTATACAGTATGTATAGATAGACAGCGTCATAATATAGTTTTCCTTAAGTAATTCGTTCAATATATTTATGCTTAATCATTTTATAAGTTTATTATCGTCTATAATGAAAGTGAGAGTGAGAGAGAGAGAGAGAGACTGAGAGAGATAGAGAGAGAGAGAAAGAGAGAGAGAAAGATAGAAACAGAGATATGTAGAACGTGTATTCGTAAAACCTTTATGTGAAAAAACAAGCCTCAACTCGGTGATTACAAACGAACGATATATTCTTTGTTTCATTTTTTATTAATCGCAAGCGTACTTGGTACATATGTATACGCGTATACTATGCTTATCTCTCGTCATTATTAATTTCCTCGCTTCATCGATGACACGTTAGGGACACGCATTTTAATATTTCTGCTAGATGAGTGAAACGCGAGGAACGTTCATTAGCTTACATGACTCTCCTCTCTTGCCTATCCGCAAGAAAAAATCGCTCTAGAATCGTATTTATATATTAATAAAAATCGCGTTGAAACTTTTTTCTTTTATCTTTACAAATGTTATATCACCTAATTGTGGAAATTTGTACAGTTTTTTTAATAAAGATTTTGTTGCCTCCTAATTATTTAATTATACACACTGTCGCGTACGCGCATAGTAAATAATTACACGCGATGCGTTAATTAAGTTAATTTCTTCTCCTCGTCGCTTTGGCTTCGCGGACTAACATACATCATTTTTGATACACGAACACGATGCGAAAATGTATTTTTCTTAAATTTCGCAGATCCTAGATCTCACAGCTAGATCCTGCATCCAGCAGATGGAATTTTTTCCTATAATACATCATTTCAACTATATTCTAACAAAATCCAACAATCTCGGGAAAGTCTTCAAGATTCAAACTGATTGGATCGATTACTTATAATAGGAATTTTAGAATCTAATTTCGAACTCTCGAAGGATGCCCGCGTTGCAACTAACACTGCGATGCAACTAACACTGTTATTAAAAAATAAATCAATCAAGAATAGCGCGCACATATATAGGTATATTTAAGATCTAGAAACATCGGTAATTAGATCGAGGTAAATACACATCGCAAGCCGTTTAACAATTCACAGAGCTTCGCAGAGACACTTCGATCGTTCTCGCTTATGACGTACGATTCCTTTGCCAAGCGACGGTATAATAATAACGATAAATTAATTTTATAATTATAGCAATAAATAATATTACTGGGATACGCGCTTCGTCTAATCGTTGCTAAGGACAAAGAGGAGCGGAATTGGGATAATATTGAATTTCGTGCGCGTTTACATTTATAACGAGTCTGTAGAAACTATATAACTAGACTATAGAAGAGCTTGTGGCATGCATGTGTAAGAAGGGGACTAAATGGTCCACTCGTTGATCTTTACAATACGTTTTTCCAGTGCAAACAAATATGAAGTGTAAAAAAGGAATAGCGTAACAAGGATCTTTGGGGGACTGTTATGTTCGTCGAGTTCTTTACGTTTTTTTTTTACAGAGCACCTGTTTTACAAGTATAATGGGGTTTACTAAACTTCTTCTCTCTGAAAAATTCCGATATGGATATATCAATGTGTAATTATTACTATAGGCTGTCTTCCATGGATTTACGGTATCGTTACAATATGATCACGGAGAATAACCCGATTATACTCGAGAATTGTTCGCTTTGTAGAAGTAAATGATTGATATTCTGCAAAGTCGAAATACGCGGACCGTTCTAAGCTAAGTAATCTTGCATTGACGTTATTTCTGAAGAAACGCCTATTACAATCGAGAGTTCTAAGACGAACGTATATCCCACAATAGTTCTGTACATTAATAAAAACGAGTACTTCTCATCTTTCGAAGCGACCGCATAGATCACCCAGACTGACTTCTGGGCTATGTCGAAATCTCGATCACCGGTTCCGCGGTATTATTATTGAGCATCTCTTGCTTTTCTCTCAACTTCAGGTCATACTGCGAGGGCGATGGGGATTCCTTGACCTCGATCGGCGACAGTCCGTCTGTCTCCTCTAAAGGAGATACACCTTCCTCGCTGTCCTCGTCTTCGTCATATTCGACCTCCATCTTAGACTCGTTTATCTCGTGCAAGCGACTGGGAATATAGGCCGGATGATGCGGCAATGACCCATAGCCACTCTCACTGCCATAAGTAACCTTGCCCATGAAGGACCTGATCTCGTCGAAGTAAGTGTCCTCCCGCTCGTTCTCGTTACTGCTTCCAGGCGAGTCGGCGACCGATACCACTCCGCTACCGTCGTCAGCCTCGTGCTTTTTCAGATGTCTGTCCAGATTGGTCTGCTGTCCGAAACATCTTTCGCAAAGCGGGCACTTGAACGGTCTTTGCTTGTCATGGATGTTCCTGACATGTCTCTGCAGATTGCTCGAGATGCTGAAGGACCTCTCACAGTACTTGCACTTGTATGGCTGCTCACCAGTGTGAGTCCTCAGATGCCTCGTTAAATTGGCTGAGCGGGGGAACACTTTGCCGCAGAATTTACAAGAATACCGATCCTTCATCTTGCCGTGAACGTGATGATGGTGATGATGATGATGATGATGATGGGGCGACATCACGGCTTCTTGGAATGGCTTCACACCAGGGAACGCGCTCAGTGGCGGCCGGGCAAGCAGGTCGAATCCTGGCCTAGCGCCGCTGAGCCCGTTCATAAGCGAGCCTAAAAAAGGAAGTCCGCGCGGTGGAGCAAAGGGTGGAAGTGGAGGTATCAGCCTAGATTCCGGGGTAGCTCCTCCTGGAGGTGGCGGTGCGCTAGGAAATCCCGGAAAGGTTCCTGCTGGATTGCGATACATAGTTTCGAGGAACATCGGATGTATCGGTCTAGGATAAGCCATGTGGGGTGGTGTATTGGTTGGCGGTTGTTCAATTGGCAGGCTAGTCCTCAAGTGCGGGCTACTTCTTGGAACGTCCTTAGACTCAAGCTCCATCAGCGGTGGCGCAGCAGTATCTTCTTCCTGTTTCGGAGGATCGGGAGGTGCGGGCGTTTCCTCCATTGGTACTGGCGCTGGCGACGGTGTGCGGCTTTTTCTATTCGCAATTCTTGAAAGCGCATCATGCTTCTTGGTCTGCACCCTTAGATCTAATGGTTGCTCGGTCGTCTCTTCCTTCGAAGTGCTTTCAATTTCCATTTTTCGTTCATGGCTTCTAGCTGCTTCTTTTCTCTTTGATAGATCATCGTCACTCTCCGGCGTCGGTTGAATCGGAGGTCTAGCCGGAGATGGCCTAAACGTAGATGTGGCTTCCTCCGCCGTGGAAGGAGAGACCTTATTGTGTTGCGACAATATTCTCGGAGGAGTAAAACGTTCCTTCTTGGGACTGTCACTTCTCTTCTCGGCCTCTTCGATTTTCGGCGGAAAAAGTAGAGGCGTGTTCAGAAAATTCGGAGCATTCGGGAAAATTCCCGGATAGGGACCCATCAGACTAGGTGGATAAAAAGGCAAACCACCTGGTAAGTTCACGGGAGGCCGTGGATACACCAGAAAAGGGCTCGTTGCTGGCGTCGGTAATTGAGGCATGGTTCCAGGTGGACCGGTTGGAGTTGTGGAATCGCAAAATCGCTTATGTTTCGATAGTGATGTTACCGTGCTGAAGGACTGTCCGCATTTACCGCACTTGATCTGCATGCGACAGTCGGCATGCATACGCTTGTGCCGACATAAATTGGAAAACTGCGTGTACGCCTTAAAACAGACCTCGCACTGGAAGGGTTTTACGCTGCTGTGGATGTGGGTGTGTTGCTTCAGGCCGGAACTAGTCGCAAAGGTCTTGCCACACTCCGTGCAGGCGTGACTCCTCGCTCCCACGTGATGCGTTCTTATATGACGTTGTAGGTTTGATGGGTCCGTGAAGACCTGCCGAATGTTCGACTTTTAGCGATACTAGAAGATGCTACTGGATCCAAAAATATTGTCTGATTTCGATGAATAAAGCACGAATTTGAAGCTTACCTTCGGACAATTCTCGCAGGGATAGTTCCTAAGATCACCGTGAACGATAGCACGATGTCGCACCAGAAGCGGCCGCCAAGCGTAAGCACGGGGACAACTGTCGCAACGGTGCTGTTCCGCTGGATATCTATGACAAGTCACCAGGTGGCTATCCAATCTGAAAATAACAGATGCAAACATTTCATTCCACTGCGTTATAAGCAGTAAAATATTTATATTTTTAGAGAAGATAAAAACCGATAATCGTGCATAATTTATATATATTTTTGAAGGAAGCTACCAATATTTTCCTTTATTTTTTTAAAAATTCATTTAGATTAAATATTTGATGGAATAGCGATAATTGCCACTACCATGTAAAAATATCTTTGGACATTACTCTCTATACTTCTTCTGCGAAGTTTAATGCTATTTAATCAAAGCACCACATCGGGCAAGCAGGATGTAATACAGTAACCAACCTGCACCGACAAAGATTGTGTCGAGCGCAGTCTTGGATGATGACTAAGTGACTTCGACTGCACAGTGGCGAGTCGGCTCTGAAATAACGGTCGCACACCCATGAAGAAGAGGGCGGTCGTCGCGCACGAACACACGCCGTCACGAAGAAAAGCCGTTCTAAGGGGATTGTCACAGGGTAGGCACACGGGTTATCGTCACATGGGATGGTGTGCCACAGCATTGATTTTACACCCCCGAACACACGCGCCGTGTGAAACCCATTCGTGATGAGATAGTGCCTTCATGGTGCCACGACGGTGTGCCGCGCTAGATGAGCTACGAGCACGCGACGCCTTCGATGATGCATAAGGGGGTGGCTCTAGCGCGTCTGATTACGAATCCCGATGAAGGGTTTAACGCCCCACAACAGGTGAATCTGCCGCGTCAGGGAATGCAGTTTAATGTCGACTGAGAGAACGAAAACTAGATGTGAAAATATCAACGAAGATAAAAAAACGAGAACTGATTAACTTTACTCGACACTTTAATTTGTGTATCCCTTGACTTATGTTTAATATGTAAATTATTTTTGCTGGTTATAAAAGAAATGGTAGGTATATATCGATTATTTGATAAGATAAATATGATTGATTGTAAATAAAAGATAATAAGAGTTTTAAACAAAGAACGATACAAACTCATCATCATAGAAAAGAGCTGACGAGAGAAAAGAACAACATATTATTTTCAGTCATAATGCATTTTTAAAAAACTGAACTTGCGCAATTAATAAGATATCAGTAAAAAGAAAAAAATAAAAGGCATATACCACAAGCGCTTGATGTCGTACAACGAAACTTCTTTCAAAGTCAATACATAAAATTACATTAAATTAATAAATAAAATAGACGTTTCGGCCTTCTATTGAGAATAAGATATCATCAGTATATAAATATCAATTATAAATTACGCAGAAATGTATAGTATACAAATAAAAATTGAGTTCTTTCTTCGTTACATGTCTATGTCAATAAGCTCGTTAGATTTCTTATTTTACTTTCTTTCGGTGTGTATTTTCAATGTATCTATAATTTCATGTTCCACAATAATGTTACCGATAGTACGAAAAGAATTTCGCCGCTGTAACATGTCATTCACTAATGATATCAATCTTCATAAATCTGGAACACAGAATCTGGAAATTATGTGGTCGAGTACATCATATCGGTAACATTGTGGAACATGAAATTATAGATACATTGAAAATACACACCGAAAGAAAGTAAAATAAGAAATCTAACGAGCTTATTGACATAGACATGTAACGAAGAAAGAACTCAATTTTTATTTGTATACTATACAATTCTGCGTAATTTATAATTTATATTTATATACTGATGATGGCCCAATAGAAGGCCGAAACGTCTATTCTATTTATTAATTTAATGTAATTTTATGTATTGACTTTGAAAGAAGTTTCGCTGTACGACATCAAGCGCTCGTGATATATGCCTTTTATTTTTCTCTTGTTTTTAAATTTTGACCACGTATTGACATTTAATGTATACCAATAAAAATTCATTCATAAGAAAAAACGCTCAATTGAAGGCCATTAGATATGAAATATTAATATTCAACTGAAATGCATAATATTTGATAGAGTTTGTAATTAATAAAATATGAAGTATTTAGTGACAAAATTATAATCTCTACCTACCAAAAAATCATAAAGATTTGGATGTACTTAAATAATTTATAAAACATATGCATTTAACATTATTTTCCGTAACTTTATGCTAATTATTTTATAATTAAGAACAATGACGTGGCCTCGAGACAAAAAGAAGGCTGACTAAGCATCATTTTCAATCAACCAAGGAGTCTCAAATGCTCAGGTCTCCAAAGAGCACTCTTGAAGCCGCTCGCGTGACAAAAGGCTTTCGCGAACGCGAATTACTAACCCCGAGATTTGAAGGCGATTACGTGGCACCCACTCTCTGGATTCCATCGATTAATTAATAATTGACGATGAAAATCGACGGACGAGCGGCGAGCGCTTTAATGTCGGCCGAGCTGTTATCTTTCGATTTCGATCCGGCCTGTCGCTTTACTGAGCACATAATCGTCGCTCATCTGATTTGAAAAGCGTATAATGATGTGCCATGAATCCTTGATGAGTCGCGCTTTGTGTATCGTCGCGCCAATGATAATAATCTTCGGATAATGCATGGAAATGTGATAATAAAGGAGTTCCATGATTATAGAATTTTTACAGGATACGTGCAACTGTACGATAAATAAAAACAATTGCTCTATCTTCAATTTAGTAATAAAATTACCTACCAGTTTTTACCTACTAAAAAATCATAAAGATTTGAATGTACTTAAATAATGTATAAAATAACATAAGCATTAAAATAGCGTAAATTTGGCATAAATATATTAATAAATAAATATAAATATAATAATCAAAGATAATAAAATAGACTAATGAGCCGAACTGGTTCTACACTGAAAAAAAGTTCTGGTTGAAAATGGACGAATCAGAATTTTCTGGTTAAATTTATTAGAATTCTAGTTGAGATAATCAGAATTCTGATTGATTATATAGATTTAACCAGAAAATTCTGATTTGTCTCATTTTCCACCAGAATTACTATTTAATCCAACCAGACCATTTTCTCAGTGTACGTGCTAGTATATATTAAAAACAGAATATAAATTAAAATCAAAGCTAAGTTACAATATGAAACGTTTCGCGACCTGTAATAAGATCATCCTTCAGTGCACTGAGGAAATTAAAAACAGTAATAACATAAGAATGTAGTAATGTTGAACAAATAGATACAAATGCAAATTTTAATTATTGTACGTGTATGATAATGTCTCCAAGATATTATCGAAATGTGAAATAACGATGATTACATATAATAATAATATTCATTTTTATTTTTATTTGTATTCTGTTTTCATGCATTCTAACACATAGAACCAGTTCGGCTCATCAGCCTTCTTCTCTTTAGAACTTAGAAATTGTTCTTCTATTTTTTAAATATTAATATTATTAAAGCGCGAGAGAGAGATATTTCTCTCTATGTGGAATGAAAAAACAGATTGGTATCTCTCAAAAATAATTATTCTAATAATAAATAAAATTTTTTCAAAAATGTTTAGATACGTTTTCTTATATGTGTTTGTAGTTCTCTAATGTATCTTTTTGAGATTCAAACAAAAAATGATCTTTGCTTATATTTTTTAATTTGTTTAAAGAAATAAAACGATCGTAGCATAAGAGAACTTACAATTCGATATCTTGGAACGGCTTGTCACAGACAGTACACCTCGTTTCTCCTTCCTCCTCGTCCTCTTTGTCTTCATCGACAGTTCCACTATGCTGAGAGGCTGTAAATGACGAATACGATAATACAAATTACAAGTGTTCTTGACACGCCAGTGATAGCGTGAGTAAAACTCGCAATTTTCTCGCAATTTGTGTATGTGTATATGTGAGTAGTCGTATAGCTCTATAAATTACAACCCCTTGCAAACGATGATACGTGATGTGTCATGGTGTGAGCGAATTACGTGATCTAGAACTGCGCGAGGGCCACCGGAGTAGCGTGACAAGTGGACTCGCGGATTGTTTCTGAATTATTAAATTAAAGCGGTAGTATCGCCTGATCTATAACGAAGACATCGATGTTTTATGGGATTCGACGATAATTTAAATAGTTTTGTAGAAATAATAGAAATAATTTTCGACAAATTCGCAAAGTTCATGCCAAACTACTCAATTAGTATTACAATATTTACGTAATTATACGCTTTTGGCGCTGTTAAATAATTTTCGTATACAAATTTGCGCTAATATTGATTCATTTTTATTAATTAATTTGATACGGAATTAGTTTAAACGTGACTTTAATGAATTACATTTATTCTTGGAATTCAGGTAATCAAAATTGCATATCGCTTTTTCATTATAAATTAATTTAAAACATACGACAATTTCTAATAGTTGTTTCAATAAAATAAATAAAATGATTTATTAAATAAAAATAGGTACTATTTTATAAAATATTTACCATCCAGTTAATGATCTCTCTGCCAAATGTTGATCAACATTTATTGTCTATAATATGCTTATAAAATCAACTAGATTTAGTTATAAAGCAGTTCAAGTTATTTCACTACACTGTCACTTTATTCTTTCAACAAGTACGATCCGACACACAAGCGATCGCGAAGACAATAGACACAATGATGTTTTCGTTAGTTGGCGGTACACCGTTCAGTAACTGCAAACGCAAACGGGGGTGTCCAGAATCGCTTGCTATTGGTACAAGCGACGTTGGAGACCAGCCAATCGCAGGTGAGTCGCTACAGCCCCCCAGCGGTATTTCACCCCCGAATATTAGAGCGCAACGGCAGGTAAAATCAGAAACCCATGAAAGAAACAAAGTGCGATTATCAACGATTGAAACACGCAACTAATATGAGTGCTAACAAAATACGGCGCACAAAATATACTAATTAATTTTTATGTAAAAATTTACTTATCTTACATTGATTATTTGTTTATGATACAAATATTTACAAATATGAAAGTAGATGTAATTAATAATAATTAAAGGAATTGAATAAAGCAGATTGTGAAATTATAAAAATTAAAAATAATTTTGAAAAATCATTTTAATCCTTGTATTACGAGTATAAGTGAGATTCCGCTCAAATTTTGAACGGTATCCGACCTCCAACGGTTATTTAAATCTGCCGCTACACTTGTTCCGACCATATGGTCGAGTGATGGCCCCCAACGGACCTTCATGGGAACCGGGCACAACCCCCGTACCACCAACTACGCCCAACGCCATGCTAACCCTCCTTAGTACGTTAATCGCTTCTCTCTCCACGACTAATTCGTAGCGGCACGCCGTGAATTTAGACAATGAAAGATGCGGTCGACCTCCGTTACCCTCCAGACAACGTCGTTGGAAATGAACGCAGTATTGTGAGAAAACGATTCGAATAAAAAACAAATTAATAGCCAACAAATAAGAATATAATCAAGAAATCGGTGTAAGATAATGTTCAGATATGATAATATAATTAAAAAATGCTGATTTAAATACAATAAAAAGGACACGAAAAAGAATACGGAATTAATCTTAAAAATAATTTTTTAATATATGTATATATAAATTTTTTTCTGGTGCAATTAGTACTACAAAATTTTCACATGAATAATTTATACATAAAGATAACGTAAATAAGTAAAGAACTATACATAAATCAACATATAAAAAAATAAATTATAAATACAATATAATAAATATAATTATCTTTTTCTGAATATTTTTGTAATAAGAATTTTTTATAAAGATCTGAAAGAAAGATCGTAATTAAGTATATTGCATATTATCAGACAATCATTTTTCTAAAATTTATGAAGACGGTTAAAAGTATTATGTTAATCGCGTAGAAAGAGTAAGTAGCAAAGTCACGTTGCGGAAAGTCAACAGGTGGGATCCACTGGTAACACCCCCCGCAGTCGAGTAGTCAGTTGGCAGTTGCATGGGAAAAAGTAACGGAAATCAATGTTCTTGCTGCATCGTGACGTCCACAATTTAAACGACATCATTAAAATAATTAAAAATCGATAAATATATCGAAGTAAATCTATTCTTTTATCTATGAGAGAAAGAAAGAGTCATTTATTTTATTACACTTTTCTGTCTTTATAAATTTTAAATAAATTTAATTATAAAAATGTTTTTTTCTATTTAATTAATATTATAAGCTTTGATGAGACTGAATTGCATTGAATTCTTACAATCACTGCTGAAACGACACATAAATTATTTTTTACGAATAAAATATAAAATGTTACATATATATTTTTTTTTTCTAAAATATTAGTATTAAATAATATAATGTAACTATCAAAGAAACTAAAATAAATCTTTGTTTATTCACACAATACGATTTTTTGCAGAAGCGCTTTCTTACTCTTAAAATAATAAAAGTTTTTCTTTTACGATACACACCTCTTTTACATTCAACGATTTAACTAAAAGAAAAAATATATTTTCTTTGATGAAATAAACGGAAAATCGATATCTGCGTGCATCTTTCAATAAAAATTGTCACACGCGACCGTAGCGATTTGGAATCAAACGTCAAATAAATGTGTCATTAGTCCGATGAATCAGATGGGGTTGTAACATGTCACACGCACCTCCCTATCTCGGAGTAAAAAAAAAAGAGTGTCGCGTGCCCTTTTGTATGCGTATACCCCTTTTTTCTCATTCTGACCCGTGCCCTTTTTTTCGGTCATCCCTGAGACCTGGTTATGCGCGTGTTAATCGACAATAGTTGGCTATAAATTATCCGTTGCCCTAATAGAGCTGTCGATGTAAAACACGCCGATGATACAAACGCGTTTCTCGCAAAAAAAAAGGGAAAATGACGATAAAAAAACAAGCCCCGCAGAAAGTCATAAGCACAGCCATAAGTCATCGTAAATGCCCCACAATTGCATCTGCCATATTACCGCAACTCAATTCGTGGTAAAGTTCAAAAATGTCTGGGAAAGGTCATAATTCATAATGTTGCAGTTAATACAAGTAATCGTATCGGCAAACACATACAGATATAACATTAAACAGTTATCTCTTTCTTCCTCTCTCTAACTGGTTAAACATTACATTATATTGTCATCATAGGTTACAATTATTTGCAACTAGAGCTCTAATTTTATTCCGTTTTTCGAAGATACGTGTAAACGTAAAACGTTTATCCGTTTATATTCGCTTTCAAAAAAACTTTTACTTGAAGGTAAATGTTTACACGTTCAATTAGCATATCCGTTTATAAAAGAAATATTTTTCCGAATATACGTGTTTTATTATACATTTAAACGAAAATACATTTACATGTATATTTAACATATCCATCTATGAAAAACATCTTTTCGAATATTTTAACGTTTTTTAATAAAATTAAAAATCGAATTTTTTGCATTTTCTCAATTCGTCACACTCCTTAATAAAGGGATAAACGTTTATATAAAAAAAGTGAAAATATTCGGAAAAACGATTCTAATAAACGGATATACTAATTATACGTAAACGTATTTTCGTTTAAACGTATAATAGCGGCCCTACTTGCAATGTCTTATTTTAATATTTGTTAATTTTCTTTTTTTTTCTCAATTTGATTAAAATACAAGATTTAAAAAATTTATTTAATGTCTCCATATCCTCATTTTATTAAACTATTTTTAACAATAATAAGATTGAAAATAATAAAATTAGATATTTTCTCTTCAAGTGAGATAACATTGAAAAAGAAAAGATTTGTATCTATGAAGGATTAAATATTGAAGGCGAATTTTTGAACGGGTCACGTGTAAGCGGACTATAAATTTTTTAATGTGAATATTCGGTATAGATATATGTATATACGTCTACGAGATTAAGTTAACATACAACTCCAGTTGAATGCCTCGCTACGCGCACCCCATGTAGGCGTGTTAAAATGATTCCTCGCATCTTTTTCTTTCGCTTTCCCTTGTTCTCTTTCCCCGCGAAAAAAATGATCCATCCAAGGGAGAAACGCGGCGCAGATGCCCTTCGCAAGGGTTGATACGAAGCGTACGTCGTTTGTTTGACATCATTATTTCTGCTTGCACGCACCAGCTTGCTCTCTGGAGGAGATTTCTTCGTAAAAATGGCTTTACTGGATTAACGCTAGTACCGCTCTTAAGCCATTTAAAGTCGACATTAATCTCTCTTAAATGCATTAATTGTAAAATTACGTGTCCACCGAGAAAATCTGTAGAACCGGAATCATTATACATAATAAAACAATAATCATTATTATATCTAATGTTGCGCTCTCTCAATTCAAAATAAATTAAATAATTGCAAAATTTACGGATAACTTATATGAATATAAATTATTGCATAAATATTAAAATTTGACATTTATTATTGATTAATAATATAATGACTTTACAGAGAATTTATAATATTAATATAAAGTAAAGAAAATACGCAGATGCAATTTCTTCCGCAACTTAATCTACCCATTATCGTAAAAATAAAGATTCTAATTTCAAAATTAATTTAGAGAAAGTAACATTATCTGTAGGCTAATGACTTAATTACGGCTCTAATTTTCAACTGTTAAAGTTATCTCATAAAATTGCGTCTTCCTTTTGGAATCTGTCTCATTCTATTTAAATATAATATATAAATTTTTCTTTAATTTTGTTGTTTGATAAAAACAATCTTATTATTATTATCTTTTTTATGAGAAAAAATATAATTTATTTTGTTTAATTTTTATATAGATGTTATATATATATATTAATAAATAATACCATATTAATAATGGAATAATAAATGGCAACATGTGATTGTACATATTATTTTCTTATGCATATTTATTATTTCTTATGCATCTGCATGCTTAAAAAAATTCAAGCAGAACTCTCTATGTTAAAAAATATATTTTATTATATTTTTATCAGAAATATGTTACATATTATAGACTGTTAATTATTCCAAACTTTCTCGAGCTTTTTCTAAAGTTAAATATCAGTTTTCTTTTCGATATAAGTTACTATGTGAAAGACGTTTCAATAATAATAATAACTTATCTTCATCAGCTTTGTACAAAGGAAAATTTAGCATTAAACCTATTAATACGTGAATAGTGTATCTTCCATGCGCAAAGGCGCATTTTATGAACATTTCCTAAAATTATAATGAAAAATTGTAGGCGAATTAACTGTAGACTCTGTAACGGCAGAACTTCGACAATAAGCCCGGTTTTAATTGTTGCGACATCTGGGTGTCGCATATAACCCTCCAGCCCTACCAAGTCATCATCCAGATTTTGACCATCGTGCAGAAGTTACAACCAGATAATTGTCGAGCAGTGAGGCACGTAGACGCTACCCTTCTTTGTAAATATATATTCCGAATATATTAATGGCACAATTGTCCACACAATAAAATCCAACGATCGATCAACTAAATTAAACGGACACAATAAAATGGGTTCAAAATTAATTTTAAAGTTGACTTTAAAAAATCAGTTCACATTTATTATACGTAAATGTTGTTGTAAACATTATCAATTTATATGCAATTTTATAAACATATTAAATATAATAATTTTAATTGAAAAATGAAAGATAATTTTTAATTTTCATAATTATGCGCGCAGTGGTTTTGTTCGTATAACGACGGACAAGAAAGATGGTTTCGGACAAAAGTCGAAGCGACACGGGGCACGGCGACATGTGACTCGAACACGTCTATCTGCAAATAATCAGCGCTTATTACCGGACGAGGGTTAATACGCAACGGTCGACCAGGTGAATCACGCCAAAGTCAAGGGTGCATGACGAGCAGCTCGTGCACACAACGATCCACGATTTACCCTCTGCCCGCCCCCGATTCGTCGTTTCGGAAAACACCTGCCCCTGCCATTCATTTGCGTTCATACGCGTAATTGTACGCACACGAGCTGCTAACGTGTATCGCGCGATGTGTATCAGCACAGAAAGTCGTAAAGCCATGCCGAAACGATCGTGACGCCGATATCTTGCCGGCCATCTGAATATTATTTTATATTGTATTTTCTGTTCTCTTCCATTTTTTTGTAGACATTACTCCTCAAAAATAAAAATAATATTGTGCATTGCTTATTTTTTAATGTTTTATTTGGATTGTTAATTCAAATTATTTGTTTAATCTTAAAATTGAATATCTCTGACTTTTTAATATTTCTAAATAACGATATTATCCAATTTACTGATGTTAAAAGTTACATTTATATATGTGTACAAAACGAAAATACAAACATATTATTTGACTGTTATTAAAGTAAAAAGATATCTTTCGGTATTGTCTAATATACCCGAATAGATAAGCTTCGACGCTTTATTCGTAGAAAGACTTGATAAAGAAATAAATCTGGAATTTTGTCTAGTTTAAATTCTTGTGACTTATAGACACTCACCAGTTTCTCGATCGCTTCTGTCCTCGGTTGTGTTCTCGCCCAACATGTCCTGCAGCTGAAGCGGTTCCCGAAGACCCAAAAGAAGTTCTTCACCCAATGCAATGTCGCGAATAGCCTCATACACCATCTATCAGAATTGTTATTTTATAACGCTTAATTCTTAAGTCTTTCAGCAACACAATAAATATTTCAAAATAATTTCAAAATTTTTTATCTTCATAGTGCTAGAAATTATAAATAAAAATTAACTTTGCAAGATTGTAAATTTATAAAATTCATAGGCTAAAATTATTTTTTTTTATTTAAATACTGATATATGTATATAACATATAATTATTATTAAATGTAATTTTTGTGAAATAGTGAATGTACAAAGGATTGTTTTACAATTAGTTGCGTGACATTTTAATAAATTTTTCTATAAAATTTTTCTAGAAAAATTGCACTTTTATATCAAAGATAAAAAAATCACCACAAACATATTACATAAAAGTAGTAATATACAGCAGCATAATTTTTTTTTACTTTACTAAAACTAACTAGTGATAATATATCACAGAAAAAAATACGAAGAGAAAAAAATCTAAAAATAGTAAATGCTATTATTGATGTTTCGGGCGATTGCGTTTAGATTTTATTAAAAAGAATCCCTTTACACGAGGCACATAATCTGCATACAATTTTATGGAGTTTGGTAGCGTCGGGAAGCCATGAAACGATCTTTATAGTGTCGTCACAGGGCCCCATGAAGCATCATTACGATGGCGATTTTGCAGGGCACTGATAGAGAATGTCGCGTTCCCCATTCCCACAGCGATTGCGAGAGGGCGTATAGGAAGTCAGAGAAACGACCCCGTGGGGTGACTTAATAACTAAACACCCTGTATATATGTAGCTTACGTCGCGCCCACAACATCGAGAATACCATGTGCCACGGTTCACAGAGAGAAAGAGAGAAAAAGCCAAATGGACAGAAGCGTAAGCTCGACCCTAAATTGACACCGTGACCTCCATTATTTCCGTTTATATATCTATTCGATGGCCAATCATATATGAACACATTGTTTTTAAAGGCGATTAGAAGAAAAATCTGTCTTTTATATTTCTTTTTATTAAGAGATTCAAAATTAAAATCTATTTAAAACTTACACAGAGATTAATTTTATTACTACACACACAAATTTCGATATTCTCTCTCTCTTATAAAATGAGATTTATAAATATTATAAATATTATTTATTAAAAAATGAATAAAAATTATTTATTTTCTACTAAACAACAAATATACCATATCCAAATATTTTATATCTAAATGGAGTCTCTTAAAAACAATTTATATGTATATTACAGAATGAGTCATTTGAAATAGACGATTGAATACGTAGAAAACAATATGATAATTTTGTAAAGTACTAATAAGCTTTTTAACAATCAATGGCATATGTGCAATAAATTGGAATTCTGCTTAGTGTGTAATTATTGTTTCTTGTTAACTGCAACTGTCGATCGGGTGTCAGTTGCGTATAAAAGTTAAACAGAGGGTGAATCAGAGAGTAGCTGCCAAGTGTCTAAAAGGGGGTTATAATCTTCTTTCTGTTTATAATCATGTAGCAATTTTAATCTTTTCGTAGTATTGTTAAAATTACTGCCAATAATATAAAAAAACTATGAAGATTATATGAAAATTTAAAAAATCTTTTTTGCATGTTATTTAAATAAAATAAGTTAATTTGGTATGTAAGTCGTGCTTATTGTAGTATCCTTTAAATTGTCAGCAATTGCAAGTATTTCTAGCACACAATTAATACAATTTTAATGCAGAATAATTACTTGTGCATGCCACTCGCACACGAGAAGCGAAGAAGTAAAGGATTTCTTTCTATACGCGTGTACAAGGTACTCGGATCGAAAGTGAAGATCGCAGATGTCGATTAGTGATACCAATAATTCACTCTTCTGCGAAATTATCTTACCACTAATCTGTACGCGTTTTTACGCCGTTGTAAAGTGGGTTACGAAACAAGCAAATGTGGATTTGAATTGGTTATTAACGTTGTCTATTTTTACTATTCTAACCGATAACTTGTAAGTTTTTTCATATTTTTAATTTTTTACGGTATAACTAAATTAGATAGTGTGTTAACAATGCCGCATAATAGAAAGGATATATATACTTTATATCGGTACCAAAATATTACATTGCTGATTTAATGATTTTCGAACTTTCAATTATGCTACACACACACACACATTTTCCATTATTGAAAATTGTTCTTACCTGACCGCCGATGAGTACGTGACGCATGTTCACTGCGTGTGAGCTAGCAGTACTTCGTATATATTTCAGCCAATTGTTCGTTTCGTGAGATGCATCCAACCAGCCTCTTACTCCACTGCCCGCTATGCGAACCTAAAATACCCGTAAACGTTACATTATAAATTTCTCTTTATGCTAGCTGATAACAAAAAAATTGTGTTTATATTGTGAGAATAAAAAAATTTAAACTTTTAAATCAATTTTCCCATATTTTTTATTAAAATAAAATTAGTTACTTTGATTTCTACGTATGTACGATTTCTAGTATGTACAATTTCTTTGTAAATATCTAAATTAATAAAATTATTTTTTGGATTGGATCGGTGCACGTGCGTGAAACGGCACGTAAGTACTGTACATTTTTGGTAATGAGAAACCGCAATGTTTTGAACTCGGAACATTACGTTTAACGGACTGTCGCTCACGGATATCATCCTCTCATCGCCCTTGCATCTGCCTTGACTTCCTGTTCCAGCATCCACAAAACGTCCCTACTTTTAGGGCGAGACAAGTGATTTTTTTCAATTGTCTAGCGCGCGGCTTCGACGCCCCGCGATGCTTGGCCGGCCAAGCGTCTCACCCCGATGGGTCGCCGCCGTTCTTGGACACCCCATTTGCCAACGGGAAGCTACGAATATTCTCCTCGTCACCCTCATTTCATGTGGTAAAACACATTTTGCACTTCTATCATGAACTCGTTGTCTCCGCCATTTACGAAAATATTTTGACCATTAAGTTGTATTGATCACCAAGTGTGATTTTTGCAATAATACACTGAAAAAATTTTGTTCATTTTTGGTCCAATGAATGATCGTTAATCAATGTCCGACTTAATGTAGTTAATTCATTGATACAATAACTGGATTCATTTATACAACTATATATTCATTCTTGCAATGAATTTTAGGAATAATTTTATAATCTAAATTATTATGAGAATTCATTGGACCAATTTTCATTATTTTTTCATAATTCAATAAATATTTTATTGAATTATTTACTTACAGTTTTAGTTCAGTGTATCATTGCACGAGATGAAAGTCGTGTTAAATAAATAAAAGACACACTTTAAAAATAAAATACGACTAACAAAAAAAATTATATTAATTACGATAATTAGCCGAATTTTAAACAATAACAAATATAACATCTACTTATTCATTATTATACATATTTTTTTATTGTACAAATTATTAAAATTTATTAAATTAAAAATTTATTTGGAAAACAAAGTAATAATTAAATTTATATAAATGAAATAGCTAATTATTGTTCTTCTCTGTGATTGCAGTTTATGAAGGTTCAGTACAAGAAAAATTTTTTCCTTTTATCTTGATATTATTCTCTTAATTCATACAGAGAGAGATTGAATTTTCTCGATCAAAAGTTGAGATATAAATGAATTCTTCATAGTGTAGAAAAATATAATTTTTATGGCAAGCAAAATCTATATTATTAGTGATACAATGGCAGAGACAATTCTGAATTTTGTTCTTGCAGTTTAAAAAATGTATTAAGATCTCATATCTTTTTGCAATATGAGTTGATGTAGGCTTACACCACCTGCTGGTCTTAAGTATAACTAGTATGCGTCCACAAAAATCAATAAATCTCACAGGTGGATAAGGGTTGGTTCTGCAGGTAAATAATCCCGGCCGCGACGTGTTTTTAAATGACAGAAATTTCTTCAATGGAAGCTTTAAGAGCTGCAGTTTATAAATAATCCTACCAGATTTCAGAAACATCAGATGAACCGCAAGACATTTGGTTCACTTTGACACTTCCTTTTCATTCACATACCGTTGCTCATTTTCGATTCATAGTTAAATCTCCATCTTCCTATTCTTTTGTGATCCTTTCATCTCATTCCTAATCTCTAGTTAAAATCCATAGAACTCAAAACGCATTTCTGCTGCTATTTTTGTGTATTTACGCGCTTCAGTTAATATATACATATTTAATTATAGTTTAATTATATTTTACATTGTTTTGTTTGTTATTTTGAGTAAAAAAAGTTGTATAAAATTTGCAAGTATAATATATGTTATAAAACTTTAAAAATTGGAATTAAATTAAAGAATTTAATATTCAGTTTTCTACATTAATAACATAACAAAATTAATGTATTGGCATTAAAAATTTTTATAAAAATCAGAAGGATAGAAGTAGAGAAAGAACTTAAGTATATCTATATAAATATAATAAATCCACATATAAGCACATGAATGGAAATGAATGTATCACTTTCAATATCGCGCCTTGACATATTAGTCCACGTAGTACAGTTGAAAAACTCGTGACAGTCTACAATAACCGAATGGGAAACAGGACAGTTTAGTAAAGAACGATGAAAAGGAATCAAAGCGGTACGAATTCTCGATGGTCATAATGGCTACTTTGCTACTGGGGACCATTAACGTGCGTTTTTGGAAGATGGGCACGAACCTGAGCGATACAATGGGACATCTTACTAGGTTACACGACAGATTAGGATCTGTCCTGAAGTCTCGCCCACGACAATGATGCGCTAACTTGTTCATTGGCGTAGCAGCGCATTTCTTTGCGAAGAATGACAAATTGCTTATTTACAAAAAAACTGATGTCAGAAGATACATGACCAGAAAAACCTGATTGCAGGATAGCAATTTGAAGACAATGAAATATATATGAAATATATATGTCGCATTAAACGTTACCATGCATTTTGTCACATTTATGCCCGTTTCTACCAATTTAGATTAATTTTAATCTCGGTTCATCTTACTTTTCATCTTTTTCTAATTCTTAGAAAATTAAAAACTAAAAAAAGATAAAAAGTTAATTGAATCGAGATTAAAATTAAACTACATTGATAGAAATAGATATTAATCTGAAAAAGTATTTTAGCATAAAGATATATTTAAATCCAAGCACAACACACACAAACAGATATGGATAATAATTTTTTGAGAGTAAGAAATCTTACATTAAATTTCAATAAACGTTAATATCATTAAGTTTCTGTAACTGTTTATAAAGTATACGCTCAAATTGCTACGGAAAGTTTTTGACCGCATTTCCGACGTTTGTGAGGAAAATTGAGATGCGAATAGTTAGAAAGAGAGATTCGTCACTGGCTTTAACGACCCAGCGGGAAAGTTTCGCCCGCTTTGTCGGCATACGCGGACATGTGCTAACAATTCGTAGGACAGATTTGTCTGGCCGAATATCTTCTGTAATCGTACCGAGCTATTCTAGACGGAACAGAAAATTATAATGCTAGAAATTGTATCGTTGACATCGCACGCACGAAACGTCTTAATAGGTCGCGGATCACAATAAAATCTCTTTATATATAATATTGAAGATCTCGCGTTTTCCTGTATAAAGTAAATAAAATATTTATAATTATTGTATTTTTAGTAATAGAGTTCACATTGTATAAAATAATTGTACTATTTAATAATAATAAACTGAATAAAAGATAAAATGATAAAAAAAAATTAATAATAAAATTTGATACTTGTAAGTTGGTATGTTGGCAATTATAAGTTATTACATAAATTTTAAGTATTCTAAAATATGTTTAACAGTAAATGTTTTTACCAGTACTAAAATTCAAATATTTCGCAAGTCGGATTTTCTCGAAAAAAGCACGAAGTATTTGCGAAACTTGGTCGCAATGAAAAATGTTCACGCGTTGACAAAAAGGATCGAGTAAGTAAAGGCCTAAACTGTAACTGTCCATCAGATCATCTACAGGACGTGCAGTGAAATCCTCGGATAGGCTCGGTATGGGGCTTACGGGATTGTCCCAATACACAAAACACGAGATCGCCTGCCACTCCTTCCTTTTTTTCCTTTGTAATCTCACACCTCCAACAAAGCAAAGGTTTTTCTACGTCGTTTAGGTTTTACCGAAGATGTTCTATGAAAAAAAAGCTGCTTGACAAGACATGATTCTCATTCTGAATGGACAGATTCTCGATCTCAATGGACTCTAAACGGCGATATACCGCATCCTTCGTCGAAATTTTAAACGAGCCACCAAAAAACGTAGTAATATCAACCGTCATATCGATATCTATTGCTTAGATTTCCTATAGAAATTTGTATCTGTTCTCTCAATAACTTCACAAGAGAGTTGCTTTCCATTTACACTGATTCTCAAATAATTCTCACTTGTAACATCATAACTCAGTTGAATGTGCGTTCCTTTTGCATTCTGACAAGTGAGATTCAACTGAGTTTTTACCTATAATCTGCACAAGATCGAGACCGTGTGCCTTAGTGAGTCTGATAAACTTCTAAGTGAGATTATAAATCTGTGTTGACATGTAATAATTTTTTAAAAGTAAAGCCCAAGACACAATGCGAGGGAATAACGGTAGCGATAGGATAACATGATTTCAACCTATCAGAAATCGGATACATCGAAATACACAGTTTCTAATAGGTTGAAATCGTGTTATTCCTATCGCTATCGCTATTCCCTCGCATTGTGTCTTGGGCTTAAACAAGTAATGACGTCACTAATCTGAGTATAAGATACTCAACTCACTTCAGACTCAGTTTCACTTGTGTGTAAATACTGTAAATGGAAAGCAATTAATATATTTACAACACACACACACAGAGAATCTTTATTTATAATATTATAAACGTTTATATTTTTATATTTAAGATATATAATATATTGAAATATAATATATTATGATAAAAAATTATGTTGTATTTTGTATAATAAAATATTTAAATAATATTTCTTTTACTTCATATATATTTTGTTTTCACTAGATTATTAATTGAGTAATGTAAGTTTTTAATATAGGTATGTATAAAAATGTGAGTTCTCTAAGCGAACATGAATTATATAAATTTATATGAATGTATTAATGACACAAGATTGTAAAACCTTATATCGCATTGATAAAAAAGTGATACATCTCAAAATTAGCAACTTTTCAGAGCATTTTTATAAAATTCTTTCTGAATTGAAACAATATTTTAATTAGGATAGTGAGTATACATAATTTCACTTTTTTTCATATTATTCTTCTAATTATAGTGTATTCTTTGAAACTATGTCAAACATATGAGTTTTTAAAATTCGA